TGTGGGGGGGGGGGGGGGGGGAAGGGAAGGGAAGGGATGAGCTAATGGGTAAATAGGTATACTACCGTGACACGAATGGAGAGTGGACCCCTGAGAAAGGGGAGTTGGTCTATTTGGATTTCAAACCTAAGGTTTGGAAGACGGGGAATGATATTGTGGAGTATGTTGTTAGGACGTGTAAATAGATGGGATGGGAGAACCCAGTGGGAGCACGGGGGCGGGCACCTACTCCAGGTGCCCCACCACCTGATGTAGGTGCCCCCGACTACCAGAATTAGGTGCCCCGGGAACTTCAAAAAATTAAAAATCTATAAATCTCTTAAACTCTCCTATTATAAAGACAATACTTATTTATATATATGCCCAACTTATTATAGCGTTCTAACTGTTATAGCGTTAGCTATAACTACTTCTATTATCTATAACTTTACAATTCTCCCTCTAAAACTTCCTTAGAATTTTCTAACTTCCGCTCGCTTAATTATACTATATAACTATCCTATATCTCTTTAAACTATAAGAAATAAAATATCTAAGGTCCTAAGCTATATTTTGTATATAGGATATAAGAGAAGTCTTTATATAAGTAGTAGAAAGAGTCGAATTAGTTAATTTAATACTTTAGAGAGTAATATTTAACCGCTAAAGTATCTATACTTCTATATTTTAGAATTATACTTTAAGAGATACGCCTACTTACTAGATTATTACTAAGAGGACTACTTTAGATTTTGTGACGGTTATGGTCACGAGGGCTGGATGTCACATGCTCGCTTAGCGAGGCGCTAGCGCGCACGACCTGTATTTAGTTCCCAGCTCACTAGAGCTCTCCTTCTTTCCTCGTCTTTTGTCCTAAGAATAGAGTGTTAATTGTTCTGAGTTCTACCTGAAGCACGTCTGTCACAGATTTAGTAGTAAGAGGATAATTAATAATAAATATTTAAACTTATTCTAGGATCTCGGATATACTAAAAAAAGGTAGGCAGTGTAACGAATACTCAAACTGGCTAACTAAACTTGGCTGGGTGTTCGCTGGTTGGTATGCTATGATAAGAAGAAGACTATCGGGTTGTTCACTTGGAAGTGAACTCGTTACTTGTATCAAAGATGTCAAACAAATATGATAAGATTGATAACTAAGTTGATAACTAAGTTGAGCACGAAGCTCCTATCTAATGGCAGACGTGCCAGTCTTATATAGA